ACACACTCCCATGCACACACAAGATGGTAGGTATGTGTTCTTCAACTGTGCTGTGGAATTACACCCTCTACTGGTGCCCAAGGAACCCCAGCCACACACTGTACCTCCCTGACCTGGAAGTAGGGACAATAACCACAGGACACAGATCAAGCACCTAGTAGCTGAATAGTTACTGAGTAGCCTTCTTAGTAGCTACACATCAAGGCCAAGCTGGTCCAAACCTCTGCAGATAGGCCAGTGGGGGCAAGGCAAAGTGAGTGACCTACCCACAGTCCCAAAGCCACTGAGCCATAACAGAAGGGACTTTGGCTGTAGCCCCTCCTATGATAGCATCTGACTTCAAAATCAACATGAAATCAACCTGGGTCTAGGAATTTCCTACTGCAAACTGCAAAGTAAAGAAGAATGTTTCAAGCAATAGTGTTCACGGTATACTACTGATTCAGAGTTTTGAGGGACCTTGGCCTCCTTGATAATTGAATTCAATTTTGATTATGTTCACATATTTCATAGAATGACCTATGTGAAAAATAAGAGTTTTCAAAGGTTCCTGGACCACCCCTAAAGCCCACCGAGACACCTCAGTTAAGAATCTCCTTGAAAGCTTGCCTAAGTCCTGAGTTCAAGCCCTATGTAGTCAGTTTTATGTCAACTTGAGACAAGCTAGAGTCATTTAAGAAGCAGGACCCTCAACTGAGAAAATGCTTCCATAAGTCTGACCTATAGGCAAGCTTGCAGTGCATTTTGTTGGTGGTTGATGTGTGTGGGGTGGAACTCACTGGGGATGGTACAACTCTTGCGCAGGTGGTCCTGGAAGTTACAAGAATGCAGAAGGAGCAAGCAATGGATAGTAGCAGCACCCTCCATGGTCTCTGCTTCAGCTCCTGCCCTGAGTTCCCTCAGTGATGAAGTGTGACCTGTGACTGTAAGCCAAATCCTCCCAAGATGCTTTTGGTTATAGTGTTTTATCGCAGCAAAAGAAACTCCAACTAAGTAAGACATTCTAGAACTACATAAACCACGTGTGATGGCTCACGTCTGTAATCTCAGCACTTGGGAAGATAAGGCAGGAGGATCAGAGCTTCAAGGTCATCCTTGGCTATATAGTGAGTTTAAGACTAGCCTAGGCTACATAAGACCCTGTCCCTCTGCCCCCTCAAAAAATAAGTAGGTAAATAAGTAAGTAAGTGAGTGAGTGAGTGAGTGAGTGAGTGAGTGAGTAAGTAAGTAAGTAGGTAAGTAAGTAAGTAGGTAAGTAAGTAAGTAAGTAGGTAAGTAAGTAAGTAAGTAGGTAAGTAAGTAAGTAGGTAAGTAAGTAGGTAAGTAAGTAAGTAAGTAAGCAGGTAAGTAAGTAAGTAGGTAAGTAAGTAGGTAAGTAAGTAAGTAGGTA